AATGTAATTCATTATTACGTTATATATATATATATATATATATATATATAATGTAATCTTGAAATTGCGTAAAATGAAAACTCGATAGGTTTAATTAAATTCTATATTAAAAACGAACTTTTACAGAAAGTTAAATCAACTCATTATTGACTACATATATAAAACAATATTCTTTTTTATTCTATTTTTATGAATAAAAACATTTCTTTTTTTAAAGTTTTAGCAAATTGTGTTTTTTCGCTGAATTATTCAAGTTAATGGCCTCGGCCAGTCATTATTGTTAAAAAATTCAATAAAACAGATCAGAATATATGGAAATTAATTCAATTTTGCAAGCATTGTTTCCATAAATGGATCCTAATCCATTATGGAATTTTTATAAAAATTATATATGTAAAATATGCTTTTAATAAAATAAATTTATAAATAATAAATTTATCATATATTTAAGTTTATAAGACACAACTGAATTTATTTTATTTTTTTTTTTTTTGAGCCAATTTTCCGTTATTAATCTTTATATATAACAATATTAGATATGACGGAACGATACTTCTTTATGAGAATTGGATCCCTAAGCTAACGTTTTATTTTTTTGATATCTTACGGATGATACTAAAATGATTTCTAGATCCCAGTATCATAAAATTTACCAAAATCGGATTGATTTTTATGAAAGTTGAGACCGGGTATAATGTTAAATATCATTTTCGTGAAATTGTAACTAAATGTGAAATTAATCTGAAGCCATTTCCAGTATTATATTGCCATATTTTTTATTTTTATTTTACTTATCTATATATAAAATAGAATGTCTGTTTGTTTGTCTGTTCTCTATATACCAATCTGTGCCAATTTTTCATACTACTCCCTATGGCCCTCGAAAAATATGAGACCATAGAGCATCCCACTACTATACACCACTTCTTCCCATTTGAGACTTCGTAACAGCTAAACTAACCAAACTTTTAATATTTATTCCCATTACTTTTCACACGGGCATATCTGCTAGTAAGTATATAAATAGAAAAAAAAACATATCAGTTAAAATTCATCTTCTACAATTAAATTTATTTAATAATTTTGTACGTAATATTAATTAAATTGTTTAATATCTTTTAAAAGCCATTTTGTAAATTTTAATAAGTAAAATCTTATTAAAAATGAACTTAAATAAATTATTCATATAGGAGATCATAAGGTCATAATGCGGTGTTTTGGATTTACTCTAACATGGTCTGGTTCACGTTGTTGAATGTATGTTGAATCGATTTGTTATTATTAGAATAATTACAATTTTAAAATCTTATTATTAATGATAAAAGTGTGGAATAATTCGAAAATACTTATAAAATCTTTCAATATTAAATTTTTTAAACAAAAATACATTTCCTAACCATTAAAGAATTATTATAAAACGATTATTTTTAAGGTAGGAACGAATTTTTAAAAATTCTAAATGATACTGACGAGTAAAATTTTAATTAAGTCTGACCCCACTCGAGATTCTCTTTTATCTTCACATCCCCTTGACCTTAAACCACCAAATAGCATCAATATTTATAGAAATAATTCTGAGATATAATGCAAAATAGACACCGACATACAAATATACAGAATTTTTAAAGTATTTTTTTACATTTTTGTTCTCCTGGAGTGTCAAAACATCGAGAAATACAAAGAACCAGGGGGAGATCAGAATTGACCGATTATCATACTTTCCCTATTTTATATTCTATCAATTTAACAGTAGGAAAATTTTAAAAATCGGAAAGTTCTATTTTATTTAACTTTGAAATCTTTTACTTTTAAGTAATTGTAATTGTAAAGATTCATTTAAATAGCAGATAATAGATTTAAAACATTAAAACCTAATGTAACGTTGAAAGAAACGATAAAAATTCTTATAATTTATAGACTTCGATAATTATATTAATCACCTCAATTGTTAGTCGAGAGGAAATGAAAGGAAGAATGTCATTAATGAAAAAGGCTAGCAAACAATTAGGATTTCCAAAAAAAAAAGTTTATAAATAATCGATTTAGCCCAACTGCTCCGAATTATCTTTTAAGGCGATCGATATTAATTATACGTCTTGTTTTATGTTAACAAGGCGATTATACAAATTTATTATTGTGTTGCCTTTTTCATTACACCAAATTTGCTTCTTTCGCTTCAACTTAATTCCATCTGCAGCTTTGCTGATGATAAAATTTTCCATACAGTTTGTCTTTGAAAACAACTCTCCCGCTTAACTAACTTCTACTTGATCCTAGTTGCAGTAATGCAGGAAATGAAAGCCATTTTTCTTTAACCTCTCCTGCAGTTAATAACAAAGATGAAAAATAAGATGGCTTAAGTAAATTTATTTATTTTTTTATCTGGATTATTTTATACTCAGTTTTGTCTAGTTAGTTTTTCTATTGCTTTAATTAAATATACGAGTACATATATATATATATTATTTTCTTCTTGTTCTTAGTTTTCCTTAATTCTATTTATTTAAATTTCGTATGATATAAATTATCATAATAACATTTATCGACCGATTGAGATTTAACTGCAATTATTATTCATTATTAAGATGGTTGAATAGTTCTTTGAACATCCGATCTTTCTTTTGGTATCTCAATTGTTGCTGCGATTAAATCCTCTCTTTAATTAATTGTATTCAAGCGAAACGTGAGAATTTTCTTAATTAGAAATGAGTACTCGATGATTTTTATCTTTTCAATTAAATTTGTTTTCGTTTCAATAATTTTCTTGATCTAACAAAACTGTTTTTCCATTTTTTAAATGCCGGAAAAGATATTAAAATATTAAAAAAAAAAAAAACTCAATTTACTTGATAGAAGTGGTTTGTAAATAACTATTCGACTTTTATTTGTCAGTACATGATAAATTAGATTATTTAATATGTTTAGTGTCCTCAATAAATAATGAATTTATATTTAGTTACGAATATTATTATATAAACCCAATTAAAAATGACAAGAATATCTCCGTTACTCCAAGTGGAAAAATGAAATATAACACAGACAAATACTTATAAATCATCACAATTTATTACAACGACACAATTATTTTTATTCAGCAAAAAAAATGTTCTCCTGATATCGCTTCGAGTCGTTTCACCAATAATGGTTACGTCAAGCTAAAGAGTTCTATATTCATATTGGTAGAAAAATTTCCGCTCTTCTTCACCATGCAGAAAGCGCAGATGCATTGACGAATTCGAATTTCCAATGTTGAGACAATTTATCCGTATCGCAAGGGCCCATGAATATCTCCTTTCTCTCTCCATCGCAATCCAGACAATTGCCGGTCACGGGATGTACCAAATGTCGATTTGTCTGCAGAAGGAGAAAAAGCGGATTAAGATAAAAAGATAAATAACTTAACCGCGACGGAATGTAGCGAAAAGAAAAATACCAAATCGTATTTCCACAACTGATTCCCTTGCAACCCGTGACAGCTCCATAAGACAACAGGTGCATGAGGTTCTGGACTAGACACATCGAAGCATACACTTCGTTTCTTGGGACGGATATCTTTGTGCCAGGTCAGAACGAACTGCTGCTCGGTTAATTACAAACAACATTCAATTTAATACAGGTTTTTTTTTTGGTATCAACGTTCATTAAAACAACAATTTTTTAAGTCTTAATTCAACTAAAATATATCCTAGTTAATTACTTTATTTCTGAGTATCAGAAGTACAGAATTTTTGAGAAATTTAAACACATTCTACAAATTAAATTTTAAATTTTGGCATATATTAGAGGATCATTTTAAAATAATTACGTGATCTTATCGAGACAATGATAGGTTTATTTGACAGAATTACACCTTGATCCGTGTTTCTGTACTACTACTTGATTGTGAGAGAAATTACAAATGAACAATTTCTGTTATGAACGTGACGGATTCACTAATGCACTGGCTTAATGTAATAACATTAGTATCGCACTTAAAATGCGAGACTGGTCAGCCGCCTCATAACACTCACCTGTTCTCCACCCTGGTTAATGCTATCTTTAATACACTTCTCTAATCCAAATCTTTCATTCTGTCCTCTGAATCTGGTGTCGACGCACAAATCGCTTCCGACATTTCGTATCTGTAAATACATTGTTCGACATCATATTAAAATTGTTTCGATAGCTTCATTTAAATCACATTTTAAAGCTTGTAAATCCAGAAAATTTTACATCATTTATTTAAAAAAATAAAGTAGATATATATATATATATTTATAAATTAATGAAGAAGGGAGATTTACATTGAAGATGTACAACTGTTCAATTTTACTACTACTTATTAGCTTGAGAAATTAATTAGCTTACTTTTAAAACTTTTCAAGTGTATTTTTTTAGATAGAAAAAAAGCTTATAAAATATATAAGAAATAAAAAATTTGGACCGAAAAAAGTAAAAATTAATTAAGGAAGGTTGGTAGATACAACGTTAGTGAAAACTTCTACATAATTATCGTCCATAATTAATACACGTGGTGATATTTGTTAAGAACTTTTTAAAATAAATAAATCGATTCTTACCTCTCCTTTAGCGAAATCGGGTGGTTCGATAGGAGGATATTTTTTAAGCTGATCAAAAGCAACATTCTCCATGAACCATTTGAATGGTTTGCAGTTGAGTTTCTTCCTGAGTTCTTTTTGTCGGCTTAGATCGTTTACTTCTAATAATCTATACTGAGGCCTTCTCATATATAAAAAGTCCTTGTATTCGTCCATCCATACTTCTGCCACTCGTTTGTAATTCTTGAAAAGAAATGTTATATTTTACCTCCACGAATAAAACTGTATTTGAATCTAGTTCAATAAGTTTCTCATTCGCATCTTTCTAACTAATGATCTCGCAAAGTATCGATCCTCGCCACGTCTTACAAAACGTCTCGTGTCTAATTTTTGGAAACATGTTGATGTCATATCTGATTGATTAGGTCGTTTAGATACAGTCTAAATTACTTCGTTTAAACGAGTGTTAGGACTTTCTTGATTATCGAAACGGCATTTTAATCAACTAAAATTGAATTATCGTAATTGAAATTTCTTATATAAAAAGTAAAATATCACCTACCCTACCGACGAAGTCTCCTATACCGGGATTAGGAAAGGGTGCAAATTTTCGGTAGATGTGTCCTATCCTGGAGCAAGGCGCATCCACCATCACTCCTCCGCATTGCCATATTTTAAAAGATAGTTCGTACTGTTCTCCACCCCAGACGTCCAGTCCTTCGTCGTATCCTCCTAACTCCCAGAAGAAATTTCTATCGATGGCAAACAGCCCTCCGGCCATTACTGGACTTCTAAACAAACCAACCGATAGCTGTAAAACGATGTTCCGTTGGAACTACGTTTTCAATGAAATTACATCTTAAAAATTTACTAAACTTTAATTATTAAACATTTGAATATATTCTCTCTTTTTTTTTATTGTTGTTTTTTGAAGAAACCTTTATGAGTTAGGAGTTTGATGCGGACATTTGTAACATTATTATTACTCACTTAAAGGGTTCTGTAGGGTGTTGGAGATCTTCTGGAAGAAGTGGCAATCTCTTGTAATATAACTCCCAATCAAAAGATCCTCGAGCACCTTCATCCTGAGCTCTATAAGCAAAGGTCTCGTAATCAATGACATCGATGAAGGGGCATACCACCGTCTTTTTATCCAGGGCGATCGGTTCTGTATTTAATATTAAAAAAATTATTTTATAAACAGCATTCGATAGGATATAACATAATCCGTCAATCTTAGTTAACAAGAAAATAAATAAATACGTACAATTACAAAATTAATAAAATATTCAAACGTAACCCACTAATTAGATTTTAATCTCGTTTTAACGATCGATGTTACAATTTATTTAAAAACTAACTAATACTAAAGAAATTCGGATTACATGGAAAAATAAATTTATAAAATGCCAATTAGAAGAGAAAATTGCGCTAAAATGTTTCGAATCTACTCTAATAAAGATTTAAAAAAAAGAAAAAAGAAAAAACAATTTTTGCTAACGTTCCTAAATTCCAAGTATCCAATTAAGTTTCTTCTCGATTCAATTCTCCTGCTCTGACTTTGATAGTAAAGAGAAAAGGTTAAACATTAAAACTGTGCATTCAATTTAGCTACATCCAATTAATTCGCGGATAGATTTAAAGAAATGTTGAAATATAAGAACGGGTCGTATATATTAATAGAATCTGAATGAATCTGAACTCTCCACTACTCTCTTTCTATGTAAGCATTCTGTTAGAAAGCGGGTTGTACATGCGGAAATGTGAGGCAATAATAGGCAGTAAAGTATAACAAAATGGAATTTCAAGTTAGGTGATTCTCGCTGGGGAATTAGGTTGCATTCCGAAGAGAAGTGTTTCCATTTACTTGGAAGACAAGGCAAATCTTTGATAAATAACAAAATAAAAGTCTCTGTTACAACTATGGAGTTGTAACCATTTTGTTTTTTTTTTCTCCCTCTTCTTTTATTTTTATTTAAATATCGAATGCATAAAAGAATTTAGTTACTTTTTCAGGTGTAGAACTATATTTCTTTGCCGGAATTTTCCTACTATAGAATAGAATATTCATCAGATACAACGTTCACAGATAAGATTAGAAATTTTATGCATTGTAATTTAACCTTTCGCTACTACAGCTGACAAACGGCATTTTTACAGTGCGGATTCTAATTAAAGACAAAAGTTAGAAAGAAATATATATATACATATATTTTATTATTATTCATTCTTTAAAAAACCTTTTAGTTTAAATAATTAAAAATATTCTTCTGAAAATGAAATGAAATTCTTTGTCTTCGCCGAATAATCAAAAACAACCGCACAAATGTTCATAAACTGTATTACTGAATTAAAATACATTTAAAAACATTTACACGATAAATATGAAAACTTTTAAATTTATTTTTGGGTAAAATATATTAATTTATTTTTTAAAAAATGGAGATTTCGATATATCGATTCTGTAAATTTATAATTAAAAATTGCATTTATTGTGAAAATAATCAACGCAATAAACATAATTCAATGTATTAAAATGTAAAATTATCAAAAGCTTTGATTTAAATGACTATCATTTCCAAAGTTTAAAGTAGAAGTATTTATCTAGATTGAACGGAGCAAAGGGAATTCTTTAGAAATGAATGAATATCATTGCCCTACAGCTTGTAAGGAACATCAAAAGCATTTAAATTGAATGTTTCTATATTTTTCTTAATTCAATCTTTAAAAGATTTCATTCTACAAACAAATGTATACAATCGCTTTCTCGATAATGCCTGATCAGTTTTCAAATTAAATAAAACAAACCATATAGAAAATTGCATTTCTTGATGAAATGTCGAGGAACTAAACAGCTGCAGATAAAATGTTTACCTTGCGATATTTCCAATGACGAAAAATACCAACAGCTTTAACTCTCCCATAAGAAACTCTAAAGAAATCTGTTCTGTTTATAGGTTCGTTGCTTTAATATTAAATATAAAACTTGCCTATTAAAGGAGGCAGCCAATTAACATTTGCTTCGGTGTGGGAATCCAAAAATATAATAATATCACCAGTTGCTTCTCTGGCACCCATCAATCGAGCTCTTATCAACCCTTCTCTTTTCGTAGCACGAATGATTCTCACTTTTTGAAAATGTTCCTTCACATATTCCTCTAAAGGTTGCTTTAAATGTTCTAGAAAAACAAGTACATTATATTATACTCTAATTTTTAACTTTAATTTTTAAGGTAGATTATTCACCATTACGTATAAAAATAGTATATAATTTTGGGAAAAAAATGTGCATTTGAAACATTGATTTTATCAATTCTCATGTGTAAAACATTTTACATTTATTTAAGAGTTCATTAAGAAAATTCTAAGATAAAAAAAAATATCTCAGAAAATAAAAAGTTAACTAATAAATAAGCTTCAATATTAACAACTTATTCTGTTTAAGAAGAAAATTTCCATTTTGGACGTTTTTTAATTAATAAACCAAGTTTTTATTAAGATTACACGCTCGAAATAATTACAGCCCGTGTGCAGAATTTAATAAAAGTTGAAAGTATATCAACTGAACAAACAAGAAAATGGAGAGGAACTTCGGGAATTTGGGAACTTCGGGAAAAAAACAAGTATGGACACTTCATTTTGAACAATTTTTGTATTAAACTATATATATATATATATATGTTATAAATCAATAGAAATATGTTATAAGCTATACTACACTGGTGAAAACAATTAGAGGCGAAATATATGTTGCATAGTAAATTACGTACAATTCAGATGTTATTGCTACGTAAAATCCAGTAAAATATACAATTCTACGTGAAAAAAATATACATTTGAGCGCAATTGTTGTCAAATGTTCATTTATTACACTGACTTTCTCATTTTTTGCCAAAGTCGCACACTACCTTAATTGTTTTGACCAGTGTACTTGATTTTTATTATTTATCAAATGAAACGAGAAAAGATTGCATTATCAAAATAGATTTAAATATACCTTTGGTACTAAAATCATCTACTAAAATGATTTCTTTAATTAGTTCGGGAGGCGCTCGATTAAGAACGCTGGTGACCGTTCTGAGAAGAGTAGATCCATGCTCGTTGTGAAAAGGAACGACGACGCTGGCAACGGGTAATTTATTCAGATATAGTTTGTTCTTACATCTGTAAAAATTCCCATTTTCTTAATCGGAAATTTAAAAAAATATATTTACATATAAATTATTTATGTAATCGCGCGCTCTTAAAATCTCTTTAACTTTAGATACGTCAAAATCGTGAAAGGAATGTGACAATTTCAACAACATCGAAATTGTCAGAAGCGTAGATGTGTATCAACTTTATCATCAGCATTCCAGATGGACTCTGTCAGAGTTTACAAAAAGTAAAAGACGAATTGGCTGTCTATATTCTCCTGAATTCATCATTTCATCGGACAATTTCCGTTCCATCGTCTCGTCAAAGTGGTTGATAAGTCATCCGAAAGAAAATGATGCCCGAGGCATCTGGTTAGAGCCAACACCTGAATTTCAATGAGAAACGTAACCTACTCTTTTTTTTACGCTAGACTTTCGGTATTTGTTCATTCCATTTGCCTCTAAATCTTCTTTTCCGAAAGAATAAACGAAATTTCTCTGTTCTTCGATCTCTTATCTTTAAATCCTTCTACTGCACTTCTACGAATTTAAATTGTCTTTTTTCTTATTATCATTTATTTTTCCGAACTTTCTTGCGAAGAATGTCCGGTCCCATAGATTCATCGCAAGAAAAAAGATGCCATTTTTTTCTGAATTCGAACAGAGAAGCCTTGGAATTTATACATCACGATGGTTATAGAGATAGTTTTATCAAAATGATAAAACATAAACTGCAAATATGGTCGGATAACTGCATTTTGTAAAAGATTTGTTCAATCACTTACCCATGATGTCTGATATCTGGTAGAGAACGGTTAAGTGCTATGTAGTCACTGACCATAGCATTGAATCCATTCACTTTGTACAATTTATCTTTCTCTTGTTCGCTTCCTGGTGGTAGATAAAAAGCAGTACCTTGTTCTCCTGCTCCCGTACGAACTTTATCTTCGGCTATCTGTTTATAGTCGTGCCAGTCTTTTTTAATCTGCTCCAATGCCTGCAATGATATAATATTCAATTTGTAAATAAGTTTTTCCAAGTTTCCTTATTACACTCTCACTTAACCAGCAATTCATTTTAAAATATAATATTTTAAACTAAAATTTATCGATTAAAAATTAAGTGATAAATTCCTATTAACATTCATCGATCAGATACGATTTATAAAGAAATATCCGACCTTGAAAACTGATCGAAAATCCAAATATATCCTACACAGATCTGTCTTGAGGGTTATATTCAGTGAAAATCGATCGATCCAATAGTTTGGAAATGTTACAAGAAGGAAGCCGATAAGTAATCACCTTGACATTTCTGATTGTCAAAAATATTTAAAAGTTGCGCGAGTGTTACTATAAAAATAGTCTTGATTACAGCATTCAAATATGGTAAAAAGAAATAGAAATGTTAGCAACTGGATGGACATAAATAAGGGGGAAAAAAACCTTTTTCTAAAGCGGAAAAAATGAAAGTCTATTTCTGTGAGAGATAAAGAACAACAATGGATTCGTCAGCATTCGTTAAAGAAATGCTTGGCAAATCTTTTAAAATGCACATTTAATTAAATTATTTTGAAATTTTAAAATAAAAAAGAATCGACTTGTGTATAAAATTTATATTTTTATTCGTTTTCTCAATCCGAATAATCTATCAAAGCATTAATTTTAGATTTCGTAAGATGGTTGTTCATCCAGGTGCAATCAATCGTGACAGAATATGCAGAATCCTTTTGCTATCTCTTCCAAACGAACTTGACGCCGTGATTAAGAAAATGCTTAGGAATCGACAAATGGGTAATTCTTTTGGGAGAAACTTATTTCGGATCAAAGAACATTAAAACGTCTAGAAGTAAGATTTGCAGTCCTGGAGAATAAGGAGAAACAAAGTAAGTATTCATCAATCTCCAACAGCTACTTGTTCGAATAAAAAGTAACAAAAAGAAAAAAGAAACTGCCAGACTAAAAAATTCTTCATATTCATTATGAATAATTAATTAGTTTTCGGGTGTCAAATACGCTTAACAACGTAGAAGAGGATTGTTTGATTAATACCTTTATTATGCAAGAGATTTATCACCGCTTCTTTCCTGGTAATCAGCTTGCTTCTAATTATTATAAGTGCAAATGCAAATCCGGGAGTCTAATTCGTAAAAATAATTTCCCCTTCCAATATTCAACGAGTGGTGTCAATTTTTAATGAAATAAATCTTACGGCGTAAAGGAAAAATAAAAAAAAAAAGAATTTTTTACTGGTATGTTCCATTAGAGTTGACCAATTGATGGCGTTGAGACAGTGATGTCTGGCTGAGAGAATTCGGAGCATCGATCTTTCTGGTTGAAGGCGATGCGAACACTTGTTCTCTGTCAGATATCCAAGAAGAATATGTTCCTATTGCTCTTATTAGAATGATTGAATTTGTTCCAATTTACATTTCAGAACGCGATCGTTCACCGGTTATTCAGCAACATTTTCCACCTAACAAATTGCCTATAGTTTTAAAATTAATGCAACATACTGTAATGATTAAATAATATTATACGGACACTTTTTTAAATTTTCGATTATAGCTTTAATTAATTTAATAATGTAAAACGTATGTCGAATTTACGTTTACATTCACTCGATTTTTATTGTTTTTTATTTTAGTACGTCCATAGAATATATTTTAGAGTAGTTTATAAATTTAAATAAGTAATATTCAGCTTTAAAAAATAGAATATTTAGCATCTACAAAACATAAAGTTAATGGTAATTTAAGAATTTTCGAATCATTTGTATTGCTAATTTAGAAAATGTAAAGGATTCAAATACTTACCAAACACATTAAAAGAATAGAAATAATGAAAAAGAAAACACTTTGTAATTTACTTTGTACTTTAATGAAACAATACAATTAACAATTTCAGTCAATAATTCAACACTTTTAAATTTAGTATTAGCTCTTGTGTTTTTAACCATTTGGAAAAGTAATTTTATTGTTTACCGAGTTCAATTACAAATTTAAATTCGCAGAAAAAAAGATTAAAAATCGATAGAAAAAATATTTCTTTTTCTTGCAAAAATAATATTGTTAGAACTTCTGACAGTAAGATGCGGCAATTCTTGTAGGTAAAACTTAAAAGAAAGATGTAAAGCGTAGTGCAGAAGAACAATTATCTGCATTATGATGAAACAATGGATCGAGAGGCGCTTTGTCTTTAGCGTAATCGCTAAAGATCGTCATTAAAGGGTCTACATGCCGAATAATGTTGCTTCGGAAGAAATTTTCAAGAAGAATAAAGGTAGTCATTATCGTGTAAATCTTTCGTAAGAAAATAATGATATACACTAGGAAAAGTTGTTGGCCGGAATGCTAATTATCTTGTAAATTTACAATCCTCTCGAATTTATAATAAATTAGCTTATCGAAGCAAAGATTTTTAGCCAAAAGCTTAGAAAAGTTTTGAAGTAAACCGAATGATTTCTTCATATCTAAAAATTCCATTTTAAAGTTTTATTTATTTTTTCTTAGAAATAAAATTCTATAGAAAAACGTCACAAAGTTAGATAACTGGGTAGATACAGTTACTTTTAAGGGATGTCAGAAGCACTCGCTGTTCAGTATATATCCACTGTCAAAGTACGCGAGGGAAATCGAACGGAGATGACAGATGACAAGTGACAGACGTTTTCGAAAGACACAGACAGTTTAATCGGTTCTATTTGCTGTTCTACATTGGAATATTTCAAACACAGTCCATGCGTGAAAAAACTTGATGCAGTTTGAAATCTAAAAGCAACTCAAACGCCTGCAATCTAAACGTGGTTAAAAAAGACTCGAGAATAATTTGATCAATTTTTATCTAAAATAGTCCTCGGTAGACATTTATTCGTATTTTTATGTTTTAGCTACGTTTTACTACAGATTGAAAACAGCGTGCATTCTCCTATTTAAATATCTGTAAAGAGTTATTTTATTGATCCATTGAATGCGAGTAATTCTCCATATTCAATACTTAATATTTTATTATGCAGTTAAAACCATACATTGTATTGCCCACCGACAAAATAAAGATAAACTTAAAAAGAAAATTCCTTAAATGGTTGTTTACATGAAATTTTTAATAGTATTTTCTATAAAAATTGTCAATATTTTTGGTAATATCGAACAATGAAAGTAATGGAATTACGATGCTGGCATATTAAATTTTCACACATTCTTCAGATTCTACGAAGAAATAATGCGGAAATAAGTAAGAAGAATTATCCCTAATACTTTTCGAATATCTTTAAAAATTATTGACCGTAAGAAAATAATTCGAGCGAATTTAAGGATTAGTTTTCCACAGTAGAAAAACAGGAATTGGGTAGAAAATTTCCTAATAAGATTCTAAATAAGCTCTACTTTCCTTATGCATATGCATAGCGTTAATTATGTTCCTGCAAGGGTAACTTTCTTAGTTAATGCTTCGAAATATATGCAAAACAGTTTAAATTGCGTAAGGCCGATCTTCTCTTCGGATCGAGAAAGATGGTTGCAATTTCAGAAATCCTCCAAGGTTTGCCACCGACCGAAACTATCGTTTGTTTATAAAATGTTTACCCGTAATTACTTTCTTATTAAGGAATCATTAAATCGGTGCCGGTTAGACAGAATAAATGAGAGAGCGGAAACCTTAAGGTTAATTAGGAGGTACCGTCTTTGATTAAATCAGTTAGGGGGATGAACAGTGACCGTAGTAGTTAGATTTGGTAAGAGACGGTGATGGAGACTGACAACTATTAGCCGCCAAGTTATAAACTTAGCAACATTTCGAGAGTAGATAAGACACCTTCACAACTTTCGAGGGATTTAGGTAGGAAGTTAGACGTGAGGCGGAGCCAATTCCCGGGGCACATTAATTAATCATGACACTCAGTTTGTAAGGTGAACAATGGAACCTTACTGTATACCTATTGACGACAAAAGATGCCCCCGAGGAAACGCGCCCATTCTTTATGCCTAATTTCCCAGAAAACTTCGATAAAATGAATAATATTCTTCAACTTTTAAAAAATGATCGCACTCTATTTTATTTAGCCGTAAAATTTTAATGCGAATACACCTTTGTTTCCAAAGTTATTAGCTAAAGTTTATCTATAATTAGACTCGACTAATTCTTTTTAGAAATAACAAGACAACATTCACACAACCATAAAATCAATAAATTTATAGTCAATATATAAGATAAATTTTCACATTCTTTTAAAGATATTCTCTGTTATTAAACTCTCGATGTTATTTGAAGCGAGACTAATTTATAATTCTCTCTTAACTCTACCTGTGATAATCATTTCCATTATAGTTATGTTGATAATAATTACTATAGAATCTATTGGAATAAATGCAAGTCATCAATTATATAAAGTGCGTTCGTAATAGACCGAATCAATTGTTACATTGTATTTTAACAATCATTAATATTTGTTATAATCCGATTATCTAAGAAATGTCCAAAGAATTCCATTACAGGTTAAGTCCCGGGAGGAAGGGGGGAAAAACTTATTCTTGTAATAAATAAACATTATCTCATATTAAATTTAAAATATTCACATTATATTAATTTAATTATTTTGAAATTGTATAAGACTATGTTATCTTAAGGCACACAATCAAGTTGATGAATTGAAAATGAACCTATCCATTTGTAATTAAGCGGAGTTATCTCAGAATTTCTGTAATAATAATTATGTAATTAGTAAGTAATTTCGGAGACTTTCTTCTGTTATAAATTTATAATTTGTATCGGTTAAGAAATGTGTGCTTTTTAATTACAATTTTCGAAAAATTTATTTAAAAAAATTGACGGTTTAATGAACAATAAAAAAAATATGCAATTTTTAATCACAAATAGTGATGAAGTTTATAAAGCATTGATTGTAGAATAGTAAATTATTCAAAGTGTAAGATAAAACACTTTGAAATGAGGGATTAAGAGATTAACAAAATGCTCAGAGGTCGATAACATTTTAACTAGCTTTGTTTATTTAATGATAAATCCCAATTCGTTTAACTATAAAAATTAAATAGCTAATACAAATTCCGGATAATGTTTTAATGTAGTAAAATTTAATTTAAGTAATAGCTTTACCCATTTTACAGTAATTACGTACGGAAATTTTCATAATTTTACCAAACACATAAGAATCTCGGACCATTAGTCTGCTAAATTTCAACTTTTGAGATTATCCCTCTAATAATTAATAGTTTTACAGTTTAAAACCTGTTTATGGTTCGAGTAATACTTGATAAATTAAATCATTAATTGTGTAAACATCGGTTTTATTTGTCTCTAAATTAACTTTTATTATTATTCAACAGTAAATCGTTGAAGGATTACTTTATGCTTGCTCCTCTCTACAAACTCCTATTATTAAATTTTAATATAACTTATGTAAAGTTTAAAAATTAATAATAGTGTAAAATTAATAGTGTAACGCAATTACACATAAACAAATATTAATGCTCTTTATTACTATAGAATGAATTTAATATATGCTTTATGGCTGTGATATTTATTGATCCAAAATTTCCAATTATTTTTATTCTTTTCTCTTTAAAGATTACTTTATTCTGTTATAACGGATCCAATTATAACAGGATCTTGATTTCTCCTTCGGAAATAATAAAAATTCCATTTAAAAGTAGTTATCGAAAAAGTTAATTTCAGTTAATTTCCAAACTCGATCATTTAAAAAATCTATTTTTAAATATATCGACGGTATTAAAAAACAAAAAAAAATCATTTTATTACTTTAATAAAATAATTCTTTTTCCAGTAATTAATTCTAATAACTAAAGTGTTTACTACGGTAATTAATTAAGAGTTAATTACTCTAAGGTTAATTGCTATGTCGAAGGATTTGTAATAGAAAAACAAGAGAAGAAAAAAAAATCTTTGAAAATTTTATCAATGCCGAATGCGATCTTCAACGTGTTTTGTATGATATTCATTTAATAAGAGTCGAGCAAAGACGAGGAATTTGCTGTATATAAGCAATGGCAATCATAGAGTGACCAAGAACGATGGAAGGGAATGGAAATTTGTCTCTGGAGAATTCATCTGCGGAACACCACAACTGCCATAAACAACTGCTGCACTTTCTAAGAAAACTTATGACAAGAGTTGCTTGTAATTCTGTCACTTCATCCTCCATCGCAAGTTAATTGCTTTTTAGTTGCCCGAGGATAAATGAGAAAATTTCCTGTTATTCCCTTCTTTATCTATAAATATGACCATTAAAACATTCGGTTAAAAGATTGGCAGATTTTAATATTCTCTGTGTTAAAATAAGACGACTGCTTCGTCAAATCGTACACATTTGAAGTAAATTAATTAATTAATTAATTAATTAGGAACGGCTAAAAGAAATAAAAATCAAATCAATATAATAGCAAATTTAATATTTAAATGCCAGTTTTATATATATATTCGTTAACG